CCAATGTTATTATCTTGTACAGGACTCACAATTGATAAGTAGTCTTCGAATTGCTGCCAGTTTGCCTTTGACATCAACCAGTATTGTGGTACTTGGGGACTACTTCTAGATATGTCAAAGGACGTGATACAAGGAAAATGATCACTATGATACATGTCATCTAGAGCTCTCCATTGGAGGCGATCGGCTATGGATGTTGAACTGATCGCTAGATCAATCGCAGAGAAAGATCCGGAACGAGCAGCCAGATGGGTGGACATTCCTGTATTTAGCAACATCAGATCTTCTCTGTCTAGTAAATTTCCTATCAATTCTCCTCGGTGATCTAAACGTCCTGATCCCCACAGGGGATTATGCGCATTGAAATCTCCAATGAGCAAGAATGGTGCTGGGAGCTGAGATATAACGTTTCGATGTCACCAAGTCGCCAATTTCCATCAGGTAGGTATATATTACGGACAGTTACCTTTACAGGAACTGTTATTCGAGCTGCAACAACTTGTAGTGCTGAGTTTACACTAAAGGCTCAAACAGACATCCTCACGTAAAATTATCGCAACTCCTCCATGTGCTCGCTCGACAGCTGCAACATCTTTTCTCAAGATGTTATATTTTCTAAGAGAGTAAGTTTGATTTGGTCTGAGATGGCTCTCTTGAATACATAAGCACATTGGATCATGATTTGTAAAAGCAGCCTAAGCTCACAGTACCGTTGGACAATTCCATTGCAGTTCCACTGTATGATTGATTCCATTGCAATTTTAAGAGTTTAAATGTATGTAAATAAAATACTTTCACAACAAATAAATAAAATAAATAGTATGTAGGGATGGATGGTACATAATAAATAAAAATAAATAGTTTTTTTTTTTTTTAAATAGAGTTGATATAAGTGATATAGCATCACTCACGGGGCAGTCCTTTTAGGCCTGCCCGTTTTTTTGTTGGATTTGAGTTGGGGTCCAGAGCAGATGAATCATCATCTGTAGTGGAGTCCCCTGGTTTTTTTCTTTTTTCGAACGCTGCCGATAAATTTGTAGAGACAGAATCAGATCTATCTCTACGGAAGATTAGCCCTGATGATGGGGCTTTAAAATGGTCGCACTTAGATGTAGAACATGAGATTACGTTTCTAACTGCAGTTTCGATATGAGGAATATTGTTGATATGATCTGCTGATGTTCATTTCTGATGACTTTTGGACGGCAGCAGAATAGGACGTAGTAGTTTTGGAGTGGTTATATTTACTTTTCTTTTTGCTTCTGCATATGTTATGTTTTCCATTACCTTTACTTTCTGTATTGCTGCTTCAGCTTTTAGTTTTGGGCAATTCATATAAGCTGCTGAATGTGGACCTTCGCAATTTACGCATTTTTTGGGCTCCGGGCAAGGACCTTCATGTGGAGGATTACCACAGGACATATTTTTTCCTTCTGACAGTTTCCAGCTGTGTGACCTAAAGCTTGACAGTTGAAACACCTGGTAGGTGGTGGAATATAAGGCCTTACATTTAATTTATGGAACGCAACGCTGATTTCCTTTGGTAAGACAGTTTTCCTAAATGTCAGCACGTGATTTGGAGTTTCAACCAGTTCTCCATTTCTTTTACTCTTTAGCCTCTTACGTGTATGACACCATCAACCTTTCAGTTCATCCAATTTCTCCTCAATCGAGCAGTTGAGCAAGTCTCTGCAAAAAATCACGCCTTTTCGGGTATTGAGGGACTGGTGTGCCTCAATACTCACATCAAATTCTCCAAACTTTTTTCCTGGAATAGTCGCATAGTCTGCTGTGTAGATTTAGTTTCAACAAGGAGACCTTCTCGAACCTTTCTCACTAACTTTACTTCACCAACAATTCCATATAATGTCTTTGATATAACAAAAGGGCTCACTTTATCAAATTATCGCTTTCTCTTTTAACAAGCAGAAACCGGGGGCAATCGCCCACCGTCCTCACGCCTGCTGAAGGACTGGAAAGTGCTCCCCCAGCACTACCCGTTTTTTGGAGGGCGGGCGCCTCCTGGATGTTTTGGTTTTGAGTAGGCTTCATCTTATTCCCACGAGTAGGCTCTGATATGGAGGTCGACTATGAAAGAGCAGGCTTATCATAGCAAGGCTAGTTTCAACCGGAGGTCGCCCGGTATCCGGAGGCAGCCGTTTGGAACACACTAACGCAGTGCCATTCATCCCCTCAGCACGGCAAACACCTTGGGATTGCGGATTTTTTTAGCAGGGACAGCTCTAGCAGCATGTGGTTCTTCACCACGCACGGACGGTCTTGCAGGTGCAGAAGCTGATGGACTATAAGTCTGTATTACGCTATACACCTACCTGGGCAGCTTTTGCCTCGCGGAGGCTACTCACAGGCCCTTGTCCCCATATATATTATTGTAATTAAAATTATAATTATTATTATTATCATTATTATTATTATTATTATATATTTAATTATTATTATTTTATTATCATTATTACTATTTATTATTATTATTATTATTATTATATTATATTATATTATTATTATATTATTATTAATTATTATTATTTTTTTTTTTTTTTTTTTTTTTTTTTAATCCCACGGCGTCGACTGCTGAGGTCATTTGCCGTATCCCTCCTCCCATATAGGTCATTAATTCTCACCCAGGGGTAGATCTGGGTGCTTCTTTTCATTTCAGGGAAAGTCAATAGCATATTTGATTTATTTGTGTACGTAATATTTATGTTCCTTTCCATCTTTCAGATATTCCTCAGCAGCTGTTTTGTACTTTCGTGTACACACATTTATTCAGGCAAGATACACAGGTAAGTAAGTACTTTCCTACAACATGTAGTATAGATACTGATCCATATTTGTTTTGTTCCAGGGCATCCCGGATCATAGGTTTCCTATGTGTTGGGTCAATTCGTTATAAAATAAGGTTCGTTCTTCACTTGGAATTACAATTTTCAAATTTTTTTAAATATATTTATATCTTCAGGTAATCTAAGACTCGCAGGATGTGGGCCTCGTCTTTGAAGCACTCGGGTATTGTGTTTGGTATACGATAGCGT